TGAAGTTTCGCTGCCCAGGCGGGTCTTGAACCCACGGGCTCAGGCAATCCGCTCACCTCAGCCTCCCAAAGGCGCGGGATTACAGGCTGAGCCACCGAGCCTGGCTCCATCTACTCATATTTTAATCTAATGAAAAGAATTCAATAATTGATGCCTTAGTTTTTAAACTAACAACTACAACTGGATGTTGCAGCAATTGACAAGTATTTTGACAAGGATGGTTCAACCTCTCAATATGTCCAGTTTAAAATAAGGGTATTATTTTAACAATGATTTCCTGAACCATAAAATTACAGGTTTTTAGCCAGGCATGGTGACTCACACCTATAATTCCAGCACTTTGGGAGGCCGAGGTTAGAGAATTGCCTGAGTCTAGGGGGTCAAGACTAGCCTAAGCAACTTGATAAGACCTCATCTCTACAATAAATCAAAAAATTAACTGGGCATGGTGGCACGTGCCTATGTTCCAACTACTTGGAAGGCTGAGGCAGAAGGATCACCTGAGCCCAGCAGGTCAAGATTGCAGTGGCTGTGAGTGTGCCACTGCACTCCAGCCTGAGTGACTGAGCAAGACTCCTACCCCCCTCCCAAAAAAAACCCAAATAAACAAAAAACTACAGGTTTTCACATCCAGAAATAGTGAAATAAAAATCTGAAAGCAACACGTGCAGCAAAGTGAAATTTACTGAAAGGGTAAGGTCTTTCCATGGTGGACTTAAAAGCAAGACAGTGCAAGAATCTTACATGCCTCAATGTTGCCTGGAAAGATGCTGTGCATTAGTTCACAAGTGAAGAGCACAGAGGTAGAAACCACACATGGGGAATCAACAGGCTGGTGTTTATAATAGCAGAAGTTTTCTTATAATCATCGATTTTTTCCCCCCAGTGAGATGACTTGATTACTCCCCAAAGAAAATCAAGTTATTGCCACAGGGGAGGGTTCCCTTTCCCTCCCACAATGAAAAAAGGACGGCTTTCTCTGGACGTCCTCTTTATTCACCACCCTGATGATTTGCCAACAGGAGGTACACTGTCCCACTCACTCGTGAGGAATCCACAGAGCACTCTTCCACACTAAGCAAGCCACCGCAGTTTAGCAGGTCCCAAAACAATTTTCCACGATTCCTTTTATTCCACTTCACCTCATCATTTCAAAACTACCTCAGCAATTTGTACCCTCATATATGTCAGAGAAGTCTTGTCTATGCTGCAAGAATTGAAGAAATTTTGGACTTATGAGAGGCAGGGAGTAGAAACTGTTTATAGATACGGACCTCATATTTTATCTGCTATTAAATCATCAGGACTGCCTGTCAAAATTTGCCTGGTCCAGATGAAACCTACAGACAGAGTGTTTATGGATACACAGAGTGTCATAAAAAGACCATGAAGGTCAAAGACATTGAAGTTTCTCTGTGTTCTGCTGCAGACATGGACTTGGATTAGTAGGGTCAATCAATGGAAATGACAGCCCTACCACATAGAAGTTACCATGCGTATGTCCTCCCTCCTACTTATTTCTGGCCAGTGCCCCAGTTTTTCCCATAGAAACTGTCACTTAATCCCCTACAC